GCGTGCGTGAAAATAATCGGTGCTGATTGACCATTTTTATTTATTTTTACTATTAATCGAATAAGATAAGAAAGAAAGATCATCGAACTAAAAATTTATAACATCTGGCATTATTTGGTGAATTGTATGTATGTTGGTCATGTGACGTGATCGATTTGTTCGAAATGAAAATCAAACTAATTTCTATATTTTCACTCATTCGCTCTTGATAAATTCTAGTTGAATTTTTTAAATTTTTTTATAATTATAAAATTAAGTTAGTTATTTTTATTGATAAGTTTATATAAAAACGAAAATAATAGTAGCTTGATATATTTATTTGTACTGGCGTGAAGTGGCGTGTTTTTTTGCGTGTAAAGGAAGCGTCTTTGATAATGATTATTATATTGATTCAAGTAAAACTGTTTGTTCATCATCTAAAATTGTGAAAGATAATCTGTTTCTTTTTTTGAGAAACTAGTTTTTATTTTACATATAAAATATTTGTTGAGCATTTCTCCTTACTATTTAAAATTCACTCTTTATAAATTTCTAATAATTTACAACGGAATTTTGTATAAATCAAATAAATCGTTTGAAATATTTTTTTGCCAGACAAGTTGCCCTAGAAGTCAGTGGAATCAGCCTTTATTACTAAGAATAATATCAATTACTATTATATTACCTTCACCGTTGATAACTACGACATCATCACTAACGATTGACGACGAGTTGAATTTGAATTTGTGTGGATGAAATTATTGAATGAAAATTTTATGTTATCTCCGAATGGTCATCGTCGTTCATTTTACAACAAACGACGCTCATATATTCATCAGAAAGGAGAAAGAGGGAGTAATACGTATATGCACACTGTCCTTTAAAACACCGTCACCACCAGCGCGACGACGTTTGCAGTAAGGATGGTGGTCACGGGAATATATCTATCAACATCATCACCAATAGCCAGCTAATCAAGCAAGCAAATTTATTTAATGCCAGCTATTCTTTGTTAACATCAAAGCAGCATTTTCCCATATGGTCTCATCCATTTTTTCGTCATTTTCGATTTTTTTTTTAAAGATTTTAAAGATTAATAAAATTCCTAAGGTATGATCTCTCTTTTATCATTTTGAGTCGAATTTATTCTTGTAAAAGTGCCATTTCCTCTTTTTTATTTTTTGGTTAACATTGCTATTTTTTCATTAGTCAATATGTATTTCGTTTTGATTTATATTATTATTTTTTTACTCATAATTATTTTTTTATTTTCTGTAGTTATGCCAGTATCAATTGGAAATTTATGGCATACAAATAATACTATTACTGGTAATAATATTGTTACGCCAACAACGACAAAAGGAGTAACGTCAAGTAGTAATAATAATGGAAATGATGCTACTATTGCTACTGCGACTGCTGCTTCTGTTACTGGTGGTCTTATTATAGCCAATTTAAGGAATAAATTATCTGATCGTTATCATCGCCAACAGCAGTATTCATCTAATGATATGATAAATGATAAGGGATGTTGTCTTGCCAAAATGTTTATCTCTAATATTATCGCATACGCTACGTTGGTTTTTCCTCTTATTTTTTTATTTCTGGAATTCTACACTATATAATTTATTTAAATTATCTATTATAAAGGGGAAAAATATTCTCCAAAATTTAGTGAGGAAATTTTATGTGAAATTTGATCATTAGAATTGTTTTATTAGGTTGATTAATTGTATGTTTGCATATTTGTATTATTTTTTATGCGTTTTGTTACTAGAATTATTACTGTGACGATGAAGGATGAGCAGTAGTTTCTGCTAATAAGTGTTCTTTAAAGAACTTGAAACTTTTCCATTTTCCGATGAATAATTCCGATTTTTTTTTTTAATTTTGAAATCTTTAAACTCTCCATTTTTCCGAAATAATAAGAAATTCTTGAATTGTTTTTTTTTAGAAAAATTTGATACATTATTGCTTATTTTCTGTTCATTATTTATTCATTATTCATTTATTTTTTTTCACTTTTGGTCGTATTAATGGGTTTGAATATATTTTTAACGACGTATATTTTTTTTTAATTGCAAGTATTTACTTCTCTTTGTTGATGAAGAAATCCCGCAAAATCTTGGTCTTATTAATTCTCCACAATTTTTGGGGAATCTCCTATCTGGTCTTGGGAAAGTTCAAGCCAAATACTGTGCAGGTATTCTTGTGGAAAATATCAGCTACTTGGTTATGCTGTTCCTGTCACTTCTTACATCCTGCCGCTATCTATTTTTCTGGTATTTTTGCACATCTAATTCTTCGTACCTGCTTTTGTTCTGCTGTGGTCAGTCTATCAGTGATGGTGCCTTTTAGTTCAGATTTTTCCAAATACTGGTGCGATTTCGCACTGTTAGCTGTTTTGTCTGTCGATGGTTCATACCATGGAGGTTTTGTTTAGCCTTGATGCTTCCTTTGCTTGGTCCTTTTCCATTATCTGTAGATGGTTCAGTCTTTCAACAACTCATCTTTTGGTATCATCTCGCTGATATAATCCTCAACGCCGCTCCGGTTTCCAAGACAGTGGCTTTAATACTTATCAAGCCTCACCTGTCTTCTTTCCGGCTTTTGTACAATCTTTGGATATCAGAGTTGGGATAGAAATTTCCGTGCATTGTGAGTAGTTCCTGGATCTTTACATCGGTAGCTTTAATGTCTTTGACATCTTACTATGCCAGTTGCGTATCTAATGGTTAGAAGGGCATATATATATATATATTTCAACTTGCTTTCCAGGATTTGTCTTCGGTGATCTTTCTTAGTTACAGTCTTACAGTCTTTCTCATCGTAATTGCCATGTGATTGTGCGATATCAAAATATAAAAATGTTAGTCGGATATATCTATCTATTATATATCCTGTTGCCAGGCCCACTCTATCAGTTTTAACTATTTTCTCGCTTGCTGCCATCCTTATTTCTCCAGTCCGAACTACATACCAATAGCTTTTTCTGTAGATTCGTTTTAGATGAGTCAATGTCTCGTTTCGTTGTAATTTGACGTTCATGTAGGAAGTACAGAAAGTAATTATAGATAAGTTATAGATATAATAGTTGTAGTAGGTATTGAAAGTAGGCTAATAGTAGTTCCGCTCTTAAACTTGTGTTTACATCTTGTATCTGCATTGAGAGAGTTTAGGGTCTAAGTAGTGGAGATAATACAATGCCTTTACATGCGCCATAGTGATAGCTACTTGTGCAAGCTATTTTAAGTTGATTTCAAGTGTCACTTTCTATAGTCTCATTGAGTTTTTTAGGATCCTCTTGTCTTTGTGTAGAAGTAGATAATCACAGATTTTTGTGTGGGGCATTGAGTTATAGGCTTTTTGCGCAAATAATGAGAAAAATAATTTCGGTTAGTGATAAACGCCCAGATGATGAAATAGATGGAAGGCTGATCATCAGTTGAGGAAGATATTCAACAAAACTTTGGCGATGTTTCGTCATGATCCTATAAAAACGATTTGCAATTTGAATGATTTCCTACCAATTATGGTAGAAACAAAATTCACATAATGTACAATGAATATTTATATGGATAAAACCATTATTTTACGAATCGTGTTCCTCAAAGAAAAATGATCGACAACTTTTTGCATAGTAGCACATATTTAATCCAATAGGTTTTGGATAAAATAATAGATAATGTAATAGGATGATCAATAAGATAAGTTCGATTTCTGGCTTTTTTACAGTGAGCTCAAGCTTATATAAACTATTCTTACAAAGTTATCTAAACATACATACATACATAGATTAGTCTTTTGAGATCTTGAATCTTGACTGCTTTATCAATGAGCCTCTGGTGTTGTTCCAATGCTTCTTTGAACTATACTTATACACTAGGCCATAGGTCTTGTAGCTATGAAGCCTAACAATTTCACATTGTGGGGAAGTATGTAATTGGTAGTTGAATGTCATTCCCTTTATGTCATGATCATTAACGTCCTTTCCTTTGTTAACTAGTTTAGATGGGAGCCTGTCGTAAGTAACTGGTTCATCTCTATCGAAGGTATTCGTAAACCATTGTTAATGTCTTTAGCCAGTAGATGTCATCATGTGCATCATATTCTATTCTGGTGCTATCCAGCCTTCCCCGTTTTCAGTCCCCTGTTAGGTGTCTACAATTATGGTGGTAACTGATTACATAATATATATATATATAGATCTTATTGTTGCAGTTTGTGAGAATTGAAGTTTTCTTGGAATTTAATATTTTAAGTTATGGGTGCATCGCACTAATGTTATAGAAGATCAAAACGAAAAGAAAATGTTGGAGGCGACAATCGTGGAATTGTTGGTGTGGTGCCAGTGGCTGGCAAAAGTTCAACAATGTGCCATGGAATACCATGTTCAATGCATAAAATGTCATCAGAAATGGGTGTTTGTGATTCAGTCGATGATGAAGTTAGTTTTTCTTTTTTTTCTTATTAATTTATCAGTTTTCATTGGTTAGCAGCAGATGAAAAATCAGAAAATTTGACATGAAAGCAAAGGAGAAGAAGAGAAACGATGAAATTTCTCGTATAAACGCTACTTTTTTCGGTCGTCGTTGAAGAATTTTTTTTGATTCAACGACGTGAATAGAAAAAGTTTGAATAATTTGATGATCAAATGTGATCGTTTTTTATATGTACAAAGAATATGTGGAAAGTGAAATTTTATATGAGATTGTCGAGGTATAATAATTGTCACGAATTGCTAATTTAGTATTTGCTAATTTATCCGAAAGATGGATGGATGAAATTGTTGGTTAATTGTTGCATTTCACTTGGGTTGAATATAATCTGACCTGATTAATAGTTTTAAAAAAGTGAGAATATTGACCAGTCTACAATGACAGCTTTTTCATTTCTTCCAGCAATTTTATTTTCAATTGATATTCAAAGAAGAAATTCGATAATCAAAAAGTGTTTTACTGAATATGAATTGAAAATTTATTGCACTGGACGATGCCCGGTTGAATGATAATCATTCATGTTTGAATTTCGTTATATTTTCATTTTTTATTTGCGATGGACAAAGAAAATGGTGAAAATGCTGTTCCTATTTGACGACATTGAAATGAAAAATAAATATTTTTGATTTCGAATAATTATATCTATGATTTATCGGATCGTTTCACTAGCATCCGTTGAACATTTTTATTAAATAACCATTTCCGTATTCTCATATTACAAATTATCGCTGCATAAAAAAGGCACATAATAGAAGAATTTCTGTCACTGTCCATTTAATCCTCCTCTCCTTATTTTCAACGTTTATTTCAGCATTTTATAGCCGTTTTGTTTTTTTTTGGAGATTGAATTCGTATATATTATGGTTTTAGAATTTCGAGATTCCGGATCCGGATAGTTTTGCATTTAAATTTTTCAGTTAAATGAAAAAAGTTTTCTAGGAAGTCTTTTTATTTGGTCTTTTTATTTGCTTTTATATGCTACTTAAATAAATAAACAATAAAAGTGAAATATTTTCAGATGCTACGATTTATGACAGCAATTCCGGTGGGTATGGATAAAAATGAATGGTTGGCTACTCATAGTTAGTTCATTTTTTGGGAAAACTTCTTTTTATTTACTTTAGCTTCTGTGGGTTCTCGTAAGGTATGTTCGTTGTTATTTAGTAAAATTAAATTTTTTTTTACTGAAAATGTTGTCCAGTTATCTTTTTTAAATAAAGATTTTTTGAATAATAATTTAAAAATAATTTAATAATTTAAAAAGTTCATAGGAAAAAGAAAAGCACACTGAATGGTCAGTAATGATTGGATTTCGTGGCTTTTTAAAATTCATATTAGGAAGCTCGTCTTTTAACCCATATTTAAACGAGATTTTGAAATTAAAATTTTTAAGTTTTTCAAATTTTGAGATCAATACTTTTAATCCATTTTTTCCCTGTTTCTTCATTATAAAATCATATGAAATTTTTCAAGTTGATGAAATTACTGGAATCGAAGGATTTATTTTTTTTAACGCAATTTGTTCTTTTTTAGCTTTGGCTTTATTCGAAGCTGTTAATGCTTTGTGTGGTACGCTTACAGAACTTTGCACGCCTGTTTCTTGTCCAGTTATGTGTTATCCGGGTGTTCCGTATGTTTTTAGATCTTTTTTCTATAATTTTTGTGATTGGCATATACAAGCATCTGGTCACTTTTTATTGAGAAAATGGTATAGAAGAGGAAAAGGTCCGAAAAATTATAAGATTATAGATCAGGTTAATTAGGGTTGATTAAGGTTGATTTTGATTAGAGAGAATATTGGTTTCTTCATTAATATGATAAATTATAATTCGGCATAGGATAGAAGGTAAATGCCAGACAGTGATTCAGTGGTAACATTATTGCCACCGAGAATCGAAAATGGCTTGAGTTCGAACCTGGCAGTATCATGTATGTAAGGCGGAAATGTCAGAAATGGCGAATAAGGGAAAGAATGGCTTAGCATTTAGGATTCTGTGACCGGCAGGAGTAAATCTGCCTTTCAAAAATCCGGGTGATCTATCTCATTTGACTACCCAGTGGAGCTTATCCAGGAGTAGTGAACGTTCTTAGGGCACTTAGAAAAAAATATTGGGCGTTGGAATTAATTATTTGCGAGGAAAGATAATATGAGGACAATTAGTAGGAATGAAAAAGGAAAGAAAAAGAGGAAAAGAGAAAAAGAAAGAGAAGAGGAAGAAGAAGGAAAAGAAAAAGTCGATTTCACAAGTCCATTATCAAATTTATGATTTTGTGGTGAAAATTGTCAAAAACTTTTAGTAAAGCACATTGGATAAGCGAACGCAGAAAGCATCATCTTTATTCAGCAATGCAATACATCGACTGTGTTATGTCATTTTGTGAAAAGTCCTCGAAGGACGAAAGCTTATATCCAACTAAATATGGTTATTTTTCATATTTCATTTCTTATCTTTACTAAGGCTAGAATATAAAGTGATTTTTACATAAAATTTCGTTAATGATCTGGGGAACATTGTAGTTTTACCTTTAAAATTTTTTTAATTTTGAAATTTTTATCTTTAAAATTTTCAGTCGAAGAATTCTTCCATTTATTTTATTTATAACAGATTTTAGGAATTTATTTTCAAAATTAATAAATATTTTTATTGCTTTTGTAATTAATAGATACCGTATTGCAAACTGAATTGATTTTAGATTTTTTCAAATAGTTAAGATTAGTGGTCATTCGATCAATTTCCAAGTTTTTTAAAGGGTTTACAAGAATTATTTGCTTATTTGGTTTTTGTGAAGCGTTGGATAAACATAATTCGCTTAAATTTATAATGTTCTTTACGAATTACGGATATTTTACTAATAATTACTAATATATTGCTTCAAATTTTGAAAGTTTTAAATTTAAATTAACCCTTCTATTAATTGATCTGAAGCAATTATTAATGAAGAAAATGAAATTCGTTTTTTATGTGTTTTTTTAGTGCTGTTAAAATTTTGATTAAAATTCAATAGAAAATTCAATAGATCCATACTTTATTTTTTCTAATAAAAATGGATTTTAGGTAATTCATTTTCCTGTAATTTTGAATCTCATTGTCGACGTTTGTTGCAACTTTTATGGCATTGTTGCGGTCATCTTTATACGAATCACTGGGAGCAATTGTCAGCATTGAATTTGCGACCACAGTTTAGTTTAGTTTTAGCACACATGCACAGCATCGCTAAAATTTATGGTCTTATGGATAGTAAAGAACTATCAATCATTTCTCGAACGCTTCAGGTTATTTTATCATTTCGTTATAAATGCAACTGTATTATGTTATTATTTATAATTAATGTTTTTATCGAATTAACAGCAACTGTTCTTTTAATTTGTTCTGTTTATGATAATAGCTATTCTACAAATCTTTGCAACGTAAAAAACAGAACGAATTTTCGCTTTTCTATTTCAATAATTCGAGTTTTATTCTTTTAGTCAGGGTCAACTGATTCTATTTTTGCATATGATTGAGCAGTTATTCAGATTTTTAAATTGTTTCTTTCAATAACCAACTTTTGCGCAATTGTTGATTTTGAATATTGTTGACAAATTTTTTTCAGCTTGTCAGACCAGTTATTGTACATCAATATTCCTGTGGTCACCAAGCAGTACATAGTGGAGGTCATTCCCATAGCAAATGGTCGCGAATGCCCTCATCAAAGAGTGGAAGTTGGGGTGGTCATCCGTCACCCTCTATTATTTCGTATAAATCCTATGCACAAACTTGTTAATTCTTTTAATTTGATATCCTTTGGAGCTTTTTAATTAGGCTGTGTGCGAAAAAAACTAAACGATAAATTGAACAGACAAATAAATTTACAGGTATTAAATAAGTTTATTAGTCGATATAAAAAATTATAGAGAAAATTATGTAAATTTTCAATGGCCAATTTTTTTTTAAAAGTTTATTGAGTTTTTTTGAGTTCTGCTACATATTACCAATTTATTACTGGTAGAAAGGCGTATCTTTTAATATTTTATATTAATTTTCCATATAATCTTTTAAATTTGTACAGTTTTAATTTAATAGATTGTAAAAACATAAGGAAGTAAAAATGGAATTCGTGTTCGGTACTATTTTCGAAATAATTCGACCAGTTTACTATATATTCTCCCTGATAAATTTTATATTAGTTTTATATTTTAAGGATAGAAGTTTAATGAAAAAATTAGATTAAAAGATGTCATCTCGCAGTCTGTTTATTTTGTGTATGGCTAATGAATTTGTATGATTTTTCATAATTTATTTTTAACTGAATCATTAAAACAGAGGAGAGGACTAGCTGAAATTGGGAAATTTTTTGTCGATTTGCCGCTATACAAAAGAGCCTAATTTGATCGACCCGTTAATAATGGATGACCTCTTAACTTGGCATTCATTGTATATTTGTTTACCGGTATATATATCTTGAATGATTCTTTTTTAATTTCCTAGAATTTGTGTGTTAGCGGGTGCATTTATCATATTTATATGATGAAATCTTCATGTATTTCGCTATTTTGCAATGATCAATTGAATCAACAACCGAATTAATTTAACTTAACTTTTTAAATTTACCTTAGAATATTGCATGAATTATTATTTATAATGTACTGGTGAAATTGAAGATAACCGAAGTGATCGGTCTAAATCGAATACCGTCATTCTGCAATCTTTTTATATTTGTATTTAACCTATATTATTTGAGAATTGTGAATTTATTTAATTTCCCGGATTTTTTGCGCCATTTTCTATGTTTTCGCCATGGAATTATCGGTGTTCAGTTTTGTGTACAAGTGAAAATTTTTTAAATGTTTTTAAAAGTGTTGAAATTAATCGAAACTTTTGATTTATTTTTGTTATTTATTTGGTTGTATGTTTGGTTGTATTTTCTTTATTCGTTCTTTACTTCTTTTACGCTTTTTTTTGCGATTCTTGTACTACTTAGAATCTAAACGATTCTTTATTGCTTACGAATGACTTATTTGAGAAAGTTTGATAAATCCGATAATAATTGAATGCTTAGTTAGCTTCGTTTTAACGAAAAAAGACTCTCAATTGGGTGTCGTAAATTTTTAGCATTTACGTCGAAATTATTGTAAACTATCGTTCATCATCGCGCACCTCAAAATTGGGTAATTTAACCTTTTTTAAATCGCGACAATACACAACTTCATTAATTACGCAATAAAAATGCGACGGAACAACCAAAACTAAAAGCGAAATGAGAGCCATCTTCCTGCTGATATTTGTCATTGGTCCTCCGCGACTGTAATTTTTGGTTTTATATAGCGCTCTCAAGTGGGGTTAACGCCTATGTCCTTTGCTTCGTCCGGTTGTTGACCTTTTATTCCTGACCTGGGAAATCGTATTTTGCTGTATTTTTTGAGCACATTCATTGCTTAACCATCATTTATGTTAAAATTCACTATCTAATGAACGAAAAATTGCAATAAACTTCGAAAAGTGGAGAAAAAATATGCAAAAAAAGAAAACTCGAAAAATATCGAAATTTTTTCATTTTTTCACATTTCATGGAAATTATCATGGAAGAAATCGTTTATCAAAAATTTAAATATTCAGTTTTTCTTTGCAATGAATAAATGTGTTGGTCGATCTAATGGATTCGTCGTATCAAACAGTGAAATAATAACGCCTGTGGCGATTTGTCGTTATTAATAGTGATATGCATACTCCGACCAACTGAAAAAAATTATACCTATTTGAAATAGAAGCGATTTGACATTTTACGTAGTGTTATGCGAGTGTGTATGTGAATGGTTAGTCAAACTAACTCGTGCGCAGTTTCGCAAGGAATTATGAGGTGGCAGTTCGTGCTTTTAAATATTTCTCTCTTTAATATTCATTTTTCAAAATCATTAATGTCAGATAAAGAATCACCTGTAGAGCAGCAAACGCAAATCCAGTGATTATGAAGATAAGTGTCTGTACTTTTAACCATTCCAGAAGTTTTTCATGGCAACCCTAGAATCATTAATTCCATCGATTTGAGGAGAATGTTAAAACCAATTGAACAAAAAACATTATTGTAATCTAATATTTTCTAAAAGGTGAATCTATCATAATTAATTCGAAATCGATTTAAAATGTTTTTGACTTGAAAAAATAAGAGTTCCAGTTATTCGTGGATTTTTAAAGAAATATTCTCCGGAAACCATTTTCTAATTCTAATTAATTAAGCAATATATACGATACGCTTTTTATGTCGATTTAAGGATTGAATAGGTCGGAATCTTAAGCAAAAACTTTTTTGGGCAAAGGACAAATCTTGTTGGACAAAAAAACATACACGAATATTTAAAATTGTTAAATAACTGCTGAAACTGTTGGAGCTGGGTTAATTACAAATTGATTGGACAATAGCTTAAAGTTGATGTATTAACTCGAGCAAGCAAATGTCAAAAAAAGCAATAAGTTAAAAAAACTTGGCAAATTTTTAAAAAATTGAAAATTGCCTCTATATTTACTGAGCTATTGAAGGCATGTGAATAGTACATATACGTTGTACACATCGCGTCCACTGGTTTTATATTCCATGCGCGAGCATACTGACTCTGCTTGCAACATGATTTCGGTACGAATGATCGAGTACCTCTTAAGGTGTTCGTTTTATACCAGAATGAATCATAATAATCATGAGGACCTCCAAAGCCACCACAACATTGCTGCTGAAATTCATCTGATGCGTATCCTATGCCTAATATTTTGTTATTTGACACAAAAAACGTTATTTTGGCACAGCTAAGTATTTTCAATAAACACTCATTTTAGAAGCATCTAATTTAAAATTATACAAATCCAATTTAAAATTATTTTAAATTGGTTAAAATAAAAGGAAAGTTCAAAAATCGAACAATAGATTGATAAATGAATTAAAGAAAGCGAATGATCAAGGACAAACTAAACAAACAATTAAATGATCAAGCAATACAATAGAAATTCAAAAAATAGAAATTCAAATAATTTGAAAATAGAAGTATGCAAACATCTATATTGAAAACTGTCCATCAAATTTAATAAAATGATGCATTTAACAGTGAAATTTTCAAAAATTTTTTGACACCGGCCCAAATGTTTTCATCTACAAAATAAATAAGTAAATGGTAAGTAAATACCCATCATTTTTGATTAGGTGAGCATTGCTATTAATAGAGTTGAAAGTCACTTGGCGATAGAAGGAGAAGTGAGTACCCTTCACTTCTGTACCACCAAGTGACATAATGACGAAAGGATAATCAGTGAAGTGAGCCAAACCTAAATGTGCTCTTTAAAAAAAACATTCAAAAAAGAAACAAAAAGAAAAGGACAATAAAAAAGTTAACATTTGGGTAGCGTTTAGTATCACAAAATAAATATAATAAAATCAAATACAGTATTAATAAAGTTATTGTACTTCTAAGCATAAAAGTAAATCTAAGATTCTAAGGTTTCCTGACGTTGTTGGCAACTAATTTTAGTCTTCTTTCTCCACCCTTTTAGGATGTTCGATAGCCAGAAGCAAGTATATCCTTCATACATTCTATACATTCAACAATTTTCGACAGACCGAGACATATCTCCAAGTTCTATTAGCATTTTGCTGTTGACATCGAGCCAAACTTCTCGCAACTGGATTCAAAGCTGTGGCATCGTTTAACTGAACGCAACATGTTGTTGGAACTGCATTAAGTGTGAATGAGTAAGGAATATCCTTTTCTTGCATACTAGACGAGATTTTTATTGATGTTAACCATCTGCTTCTATTCCAGTCTGTGAAATTTTTGGCACCACAACATTGTTCCTGAAAAAAATAAAAATTTCTTAAAAAAAACATGATGAAACTGCAGAAAAACCATCAGATTAAAAGATTTAGCAAAAATACAAAAAACTAACATAAAATTGTAATTTATCTATAAATGAAGTGATGCGCGCATGATATCTGTCATGTAGACGTATACCATAGTCTTCTTGAATCATTTTTCGCAAAATTATATCCAAGCTGGTTGATGAAATCTTAACTTGAAAAAATAATATAGATTTACAGGATATTTTTTATCTTAATCAAATATATGACACAAGGGGATAATTAAAATATTAATTCGCAGTTCGTGGTATAATAATTCAGTGAAAAATTTTAGCTTCAGCTAAAATTTAAAAAAAATGACAAGGATGACAAAAAAAGTTAAGCAATCAAACCATATTATTTGATATAAATAAAAATAAACTAGCAAATAACCAATTTGATTGACGAGTTATTTTAATTATTGAACATAATTAATTTAAGAAACAACATTTTAATTAGTTCAATAAATTAATAAATTAATATAGTAAAAAATTGAAATCCTCAATAAATCATGTCACATGGTTCAAAGAAAGCCAAGACGCATGTGTTGTTTAGTAGAGAAAAATTTTTTATTTCCATAAATTCTTCATTTGAAAAAAATCCTACGAGTAAAATTTTTTTAAATCTATTCATTCATTGGCTTTGCTTGACCTGACCTAAATGATTGAAAAACAAACCATTAGTAAAGAGGGCTAAAAAATGAAATGAAACAATTTCCGAGTATTGTTAATATTATTATGGTATAAAAATTTTTTTCCCTATTTTCAATGATGAAATTTTGTTTTGTTTTCTAATAATTTTGAATGGATCTTCTAAAAAATCAAAAATTCATTAAACGATTTAAATAGTAAAAATTACATAATACTGAATTGTGTCGAGCAACGGTGTTACCCAGTAATCTCGATTATAACGATCATGTGTCAGATTTGTGAGATATATTTGTAAGTAATCACCTTCAAACTGAATTTAAAATAATAATTGATAAAAATTAATAATAATTAAAAAATGTTGTTCAAAAATATAAATTTTTCGTTTGACTATCATAAGGAAACAGCCTGCATTTCAATAATATTGTCAAGCTTTGTTTGGATTATTTGCAATTGCATTAAGATACTTTGAGACCTGTATTTTTGGACAATCTGGCTTGCAAATGGTACCAAATTATTTTAATAGCTGTAATAGTTTAATAAGAAAGAAAATTCAACGATAAAAAATGGTGGAAATTATATCGGTTTAAATTTCAATAAATCCATGCAATTCGTATTCCTCACTCTCATGTCATGCAATTTTATGAAATAAGCAAAAGTTGCGGAATGATTTTCACGCATCAGAAACGATTGTTAAGTACCAAAAATTTGTAAGCTTACGTTCTCTATTCAAATAAGAAAAATATTCCTAATTCTAGAATGAACGAACGAAATATGTTGCTCTAAGTAAGCATAATGGGTCCGACCTTTGTCCTTTGACAATAAATGAATTATATCAATGAAATGAATTATATCAATGAATAAAATGATATCAAGCTGGTTTTTTTTGGAATTTAAAATTCATTTCTTTTCCCAAATGATTCCCTAACACTCTAATAGAAATGCATTCTAATGGATTCTAATAGATAATGCAGCTAGCAAAAAGAGAAATGATAAGTGCTGTTAGCAGTTATAATTCTTTTAATATTCTCATTGCAAATATTTTGTTTCTGAATATTTCTTTTTGCAAATCTACATTTTCAAATTATGAATAATTTTGAAAAAAAAACTAACTTTAGTTCTATACAATAATGCAAGGCAAGCAATAATGATATCGGCAGAAAATATTACCAGCAAGCAAATAATAAACTGAAATATAAATTTATTTTTGCAAAATTGCAAAACTGAAATAAACTTCTTTTCAAAGAAGTTTCAAAAGAATAACAAATTTAGAATAGATTATCACGCATTATTCCTCTTTAACTTTCAAAATTTCATAGTCGAATACCTTGAAGATGTGATAATTTCGCCTTATTATTATCCTTTTAGTTATAGTTCATATTCGACTATCCTTTATTTAAAAGTTTATGGTACTTGATTCTTTAGTTTTAGCAAGACCCCATGTCGCCCGCAACATAGCAGTCTGCACATTATATTCATTTATTTCTTTTTTTATTCTCTTCACCTTTCGCTTTATAATATCCGCTGCATGATTGGTCTTCGAGATATTTAAGATTAAATTTTGTTAGCCTTTAACCATATAAAAAATTAAATGCTGGATTAAAATTAAATTAAATATAAAAATGAAGACGACAAGGAATCATAGTAATAATAATATAGTAGTAACAGCAGTATAGCAGTGCATTACTATTCTATCTATTAAATTTCACAATTTTCATAACTGAAGGTTACTTGCCGTCTCTTCTGTTGACTGGAGTAAACTTGTCAAAATTCTAAAATCTGGATAGCTGTTGAGGACCCACCTACTTATATCTCCAGAAATCTTTATGATGAAAGGGTTTGGTCGTATTGTTACTGCATCTGTGTTTTCGGATACCCTCTAGTGTAATATGCAAACATGCCATAAGTATGCAAACCAGGCTTGGTAAAATGATTTCTATACTTAGGAATAGAATGAGCTCTCGAACCAAGATCAGCACCTCTATTAATGTATATGTTCGTTCGGTTCTGTATACATGCGGTGAGGTCATTGACGTAAGAGCATGGAATGTGAAAAGTCAGGCGATAAATATCCATACCAAATATCATGTGGAAATCACCTGCTTGTCGGAAGTCTTCTTTTTTTCGTGCACTATTATACCTGGCTCGGAGGAACTAACTTTCGAAAAATTTGGAATGTAGCATAGCAATTGCCAATGATTGATCTGCTCTGACTGCTTTGAAGCTAGTTAACGACCGTGTGGCTTACGCCGGATTCGAAGGGAAGTTCTACAGCTTCTCAGTTATCGGTGTAGATATTCCTATGTTATGCACCATGATAAGTTCTTTGATAAGATAGGTTCTACGCGAAATTTCAATTGTTAACAATGTCTTTGTCTCTCCTGAAAGATGACATGGCCATAATCCAGGGAGACATGGAATGCTGCAGCATTGGATTCACCATTAAAATATAAATTCGTCTGGTTGTCTATCTGGTTGAAGTGCGCACCATTCTATTATATAACTGCAAAACATGCAAAGTGGAAGATGCTGACTATTTACCTTTGACCACTTACGTCTAAAGCATTTTACGATCACGGAATGACGCATATTTCGCTATAAAATAGGATCTTACTAAGTCCTATGATTTCAAAAGCAAGGAAAACCAATCAAGACCTGGAATGGTGTAAATAGAAGAGATTTTGAACTCATGGGTTCCCCGATATATGGGCTTATAATAGAAAAAATGTGGTTTCTATTATATGGGTTTATAATATATAAAAAGTGTATAGACGGAACGGCTTGGAGGCGCCTTGTAGCCAGCCGGGCCAACCCAATGGCTATTAGAAGAAGAAATGAAATAATATAAGTAAAAACATAAGTACTTTGGCAAATCATAGCAAAGTTCATTTGGGAACAAAATAATTTAACAAGCACAAAAACTAGAAAACAGCAGGGAAAGATTTTTTTCGTATTTCCATCCATTAAATATTACGAAACAAAACAAAAAAAAACGCACCGATATCATTAAATACAAAGATCTTTTAACTGCTCCACAACAACCCACAAAACCAATTAAAAGTGATACAATACCGGTAAAAAGCGCAACATATGTAGTAACTTTAAGTAATGGATCGTCCTCTGAAAAATCAACTAAATCCAGGACGTAATTTCGTCGCGGATCAAGTAGTAGCCATATTGCCATAAAAATTAACGTAAAGCCACTAACCTGGAAGATGAGCAAGTTTAGTACTGAAAAATTATTCAGTTTGAAATCAGGGTTTACTAGAGCAAAATATTTCACATTTACATTTCACTTCTCTTTTTAATTAATTGCTTTTTTATTCTTTAATTAACTCTTTTTAATTAAGCTGAGGAATCAACTAAGGCGGTAGCAAATGTGGCTACTGAAAAATGCTCATAGGCTTACTCACCCAAAAAAATAACGTGTACAATAATAAAATAATCTGCGAACATTGATTCATTTCCTTCATTTTGCATTCTGAAAAAATTCATTTAAAGAATACGCATATATTGCTATAAGAAAAGGAAAAAACTTTCTCAATCGCCCAGAAAAATTAATTACTAACCAAAGGCAGTTGTAGAAGATGGAAATAATTGGCCTAAACTCGAATGCTCGAAATTAGTCGTATAAAAGTATAAAAGCATAAAAGTAATACTGCATGCAGCAAGACGTACAACATGCTTCCCAGTTAACTAAAAATTAATCAAGAAAATGGAACTTTTTTTTCGCAAAATTAAATAAAACAGATATATAAAAATGAAGCTATAAATAGGGCGTAAAATGAAAGAAAATAGCAAACAAAATCAAGAATCCAAAAAGAATAGATGAATAAAAGCAACATTTTTCAAAATAGGGAAGTTTTTCTCTTCGTGCGGAGTTCTATTTTGAAAACTTTTAATAACGCTCCAGAAAACGAATGGATTTAGTTAAATATGATTGTACAATTTGGTGTAAAATTTTTCTGACGGTGCAACAACTGCTCAACATAAGTGATTCGATTGTTTGCTCTTTCGATCAATAGTAAGAAAAACTATCGATGATGATTCTCGATAAATTTATTACATCAAGCGGATTATTCAGGTAACTCTAAAATACAAAGCTTCATTAAAATCTTCGAGAAACTCGACTTCTCTATTTTTGTTTTTAATTTTCAAAATCATATTTATATCAAATCAAAATCAAATATAGAATGGCAATGAAAATATTTGCGAAGCACTTCTATTGCCAAATGATACTTCATAAAAAAAATTTCTTACAGTATTATTTAATCTAATCTAACCAGAAATGGTGAGCTTTAATCGCTTAACCCCAAATATTACGGTTTAGCATTATTCATTTTTGATTCGTGAACATATAGTAAATGCTTCATTAGTAAAAATTTTTATTATTGGTGCAAACTGATAAAAGAAGAGAGAAGCAAATAATATAATTGTAATATAATTAAACAATTCTAAGTTGATTAAGTTTACTTCAGTATTCTTTTGTATATATATATTTATATTAATAATATATTAATAATATATTTATATTAATAATATTTTCTTTTAATATATAAATATTTAAATTTCTTTAAATATATATATATTTTATTTTATAAAAGATTGAACTGAATTTAAATTTTAAATCTTATTATTCTAAATCTTATTTATTTTATTAAATTTAATAACTTAAGAAAAAAATTATTTCTCTGTAAAATATTAGAAATATTGCGAAAATGTTCGTTAATTTTCTTGAATGAATTGATTCCAGCAAAATCTCGTTAGAATATTGAAAATTAAGAATTATCATATTTTTTTGCAATTTAAGAAATCTATAATCTATAATAATTGTTTTACGAATATAAAAAAATTTATCATATTTTAAAAAACTTCTCCAAGTCCTTTTAAATAATATTTCCTCTTAATACTCCCAGGTCTTTTTCTGAGATCACTCTCCTTGGCCATAATTGACTAATAACGTTTAATAACGTAATCCCAAGGTTTTTGCTTTTGCTATTCCAACTCCCTCAAATTCAGTTGAAATTCTTTAACACAACAATTAACGCTTAACGCTACTTCAAGTATGGTCTTATAATTTGTGCTTAAGGCCGTAACGCGCTCATAAGTCCGTGACAATCTCTGGCTCAAATGGCTCACTAGCGAAAGGGCCTCAGCTCAGTTATTGGTGCGATTAATGCCAGGAATGGTAACTTTTTGGATGAAGACTTCCAATAATCTCTTTTTAGTCGAATGTTAGTTATATGATTCGGAAAAGTTTTCATTTTATTGTATTATTTTAGAATATTAGAATACTAACCATAATAGTATTAATAATATCATTATTAATAATGAATAATAATATATCATCGAATAAATGTTTTTGATGTCAAAGGGAGAAATATTGTCCATAAATAAAATTTTTTATTCCAAATTTCCACTTTTACAGTAATTATATAATATTAAATTGTATATACTAAATTATATATACCAGTCGTTAACCAACTGAATTTTTTAAATAATGATAAAAGAAACATCTGACAGCGATTGAGATCATCTTAAAATTCGAATAAATGAACGAAAACGGAAAACAGAGAATTTAACAATAAAAATGAGATCATAAAAGTTCTCTGAAGAAATCAAGACGTTTCACTTCTTCTGCTGATGCCGATGGTGGTTAAAACGGCGATCTAGGAAAATGTAAAATTGAATGTAAAATTGAATAAATTCATCGTTCTCTTTTATATGCGATCCTTTTATGCTTAATATACCATAATATATTATTGTTGTATTATTATATTATATTAATAATTTACTAATACTTTATTAATACTTTGTATTACTATATATTATTAATACTTTGAAAATACTTTGGTGCATAAATAATAACAGTACCTATACTATTACAATAATAACATTGATTCTAATATATCTAATAATAATTAATATTAAATAATGATAGATAATAATAATTAGTCTATAATAATTAGAATAATAGATAACAAAAACATCAACAGGAATAGAATGGGCTTTGCTCCCATTTCGGAATGTCCATATTGGGATTTTACCTCCGAACAAGTGAAAATGTCATTCAGGCGGTACTAGCCAACCACTTAGAGTTCCAGTCAAGTGAAATCCTGGTAAAATTTATATGATTCGACAGAGAGTGAGCCTAACCAGAAATGGAAAACTTTTCAAAAAAAATCTATATTTAAAAAATCTAAATCTATAAAATTCTATATGCGCGTATTTTGCCACCTATCAATTGGATCAATTAAATTTATCACTTATTATATTGTAAATAAAAATTTAATTATTTTTCTCCACCTGGCATATTTTCGGTAGTCTTTTTAAAATTATGTAGAAAATTAAGTTAAACCAGAAAGAGCTTGAGGTATTAAAAATAATTAAAGTTTTTTTCATATTAAATTTATGATTTTCATATCAAAAAATAATAAAAAATGAAACTATACAAAAATTAATTGTTCCCAAGAAATTTTTATCGGTGATTAACTGTTCATTAATTTAATTTCATGGTATAACCGAGAGATCAATAGCTTAGATTCCATGTTTAGAGACAGAGCAAACGTGCCATTAAAAAATTTCTAATCTTACTAACAGCCATCGTAGTTAGCCTAACGAGAAATGGTGTTTCCAACTTCTTTAATGATATAGGTTTTTTCTAAAAATATAAGAACACATCATCACTCTCGATTTAGCCATAAATAAACGATTTTTTTCTGTTTATTCTTAAATTTTAACTCAATATTTTTGGTTTGGCTAGTTTTTTACAGAAGAATGAATTTCAGACAATCATTTAAGAATAAAAATAAAGTAATCCTTTAGCATTTTGCTGATGATGATGCGGTGAAATTTAGTGACAGTTGCCTTTTATTATAATTCGCACTTCTATTAATTAAAAAATTTATTTAAGAAATTGCTCAAATTTCTCTCAACTTTATTGAACTACTAACCAAATAAGCGTCGAATTTTTTAGGAACATTGAAGATATGTCTTACTTTTTTCCATGAACCGCATAGAAAATTTTGATATTATGATATCATACCAATAATTACAGCAAAGAATGTATCTTCCATGACACTATTGTTATAAGCCCAACTGCAGAAGGAATTATTTGTATAATATACTACGTCAAAATTTCAAGCAAAGCATTGTCTACAATAAAATTAAAACGGCTCTGAACCCTTGAATCGAATGAAAACAATGCACCTAGCTATTCTTGCTTAACTCTTTACCACAATCCTTAAAGACCTTCTTTGAAGTCCTATAAGAACATATAAGGACTTTCCTCTTATTCTTTTCCTTTTCCTTTTTTAAAATTTTTTAGTGATAAAAAGAATATATACTATAAAAAAGAATAATATAATCTAAGCATAAGATCGTGTATCATTAAAGCAGGTGAAAATTTTGCTTTATTTAGATTTAGAAAGTAATAATTTTATGTCGAAACTAATTCGTTGAAAATAAGCGGAAAATATAGACGACACATTATTAATTAAAGTAGAACTTAAGAAATGAAATCCTATTGTTTCAATTTGATTTCGAGAAATATGAAAATTAAATAATGTACAGCAAGTAAATAAAATGATTTACAATAATTTCAGAGTATTAACGAAGATTTATGTTAACAAACAGATAATTTCGAACGAACAAAAAGTGGAATACAATGGCTGAGCAGAGAGAATTATGTGTTGCTATTTCGTCTAAGCTCTAGTACTATAAGTTTCTACCCTTCTTCAGCAAAAATATTAAAAGCAAAACTGGAGTAGCTGCTGTGGGCCAATCTATATCTCTAAGTGATTGTCATGCCAATATCTTCAAATATCATTCCTGCCAAAAAATGCGATATTTATTCCAATCTTTTACTTGAAATCAATGACCTCGATCCACCAAATAGGTTATTCATTATTTTAATTAATTTTCTTACCAAATTATGGTTGTTTGTGAGGTGAGTTCATTAATGCATGAATATTCAATTTCCAAAGTGGGTCGGTCTGACATCTGTAATTGGATATATTTGGACGAGCGTCACGCTTGCCAAACAAATCATTTTTTTGCTGTCTTGACCCCAACTTTTGGTTATTTTATTTTATTTAATTTTATTATTTCGTCTTAATTATTTTATTTTTGTTGTTAATTACTTTAACAAATTTGTTTAATTTGGAAATAATATCTATGCTTATTGTGAAATATTTCTTTTTGTCTTAATTCTTTTATTTTAGATCTACTTCCTTCCCTTTTTTTTTCTTGCTGTTTTCAGGTTTATTCGGGTTTAATTATCCAAGCTTGAGGTGGAGAAAAAAGTTTTATTTATTGGTACGTGCCTTGGGCAATATTATTATTACTGCCCTTATAAATTAGACCGATTAAGTGTTTTCTAAAATATTACTGCGTACATCGTTCATATTTTATTATTCAACTTATTTAACTTTTTTTTACAATTTTTTACAGTTCTATAATTTTCATTATTAGTCTTATTTTTATTTCTCCACACAAATAAGTTTTTTTGACTCGGCAAATTTTTCCATATCTTAGTACCATATTTTTTTCTGCAATAATTCTTCCTACACTTAGCACAGCTAGCCAAAGGAGTGTATGAGATGGTCCGTACTACTATACGCAATCATATGGACAAAATTATGAAAAGTTTCGTATTTTTTGCTTTATCTTAATTAATACGGACCAGAAAATTTAAA